TGCAAAATGCCGCATAACCAAAAGACAACAGCGGCACCATGACTCCTTTCTATATTCCCCTAACTTAATATCTATTGTAGTTCCATAGTGCCCTATGCTTTATAGTTGCTGCATTGCTTTTTCCTCTTTAGAATATTTTCTTCCTGTTCTTCTAAGCCAATTGTTTTGCCTCATTCGGCCATACTCCTGGGTATTTATACTTCTCTACGTGTTCTATTGTCTTGAAATTTCAGCGGGTCCCCATTCTCATCGTTACCAACCATTATTCCCGACTTGTCGGTACTGAGTTTCAGGCAAAGAGAGTTGGCTCTCTGTTAACAGTAAATGCCGTCTGTGTAGAACATTCCTGGTATAACTTGGTTTATTTTTCCCCCTTTCTTCATCTATGACGTATCAAAACCTAAAATGCATTTTTCTAATTTTTTTCCCCATTCTACTCAGGTATATCATAAAAAGTAGAGGTGACAGGGGACAACCCTGCCTGAGTCTTTTTACTTCTGCCGGTTATGTTATTTCTGCTTCGCATGTTATAACAACCTTATTATTCGTGTACACCTGTTGTAAAAGCCTAATCAAGTGTGCATCTAAACCCTACTCTCAGCTATACCCAGAGATTTTCCTAACTCACATTGTCGTACGTCCCTTTAATGTCTAAAAATGCTTTCTATAACGTTTTTTTTTTTCTCAACCGTGCCACCTCTGTACATGGAGTGATGATGAATAAGTTATAATCTAACCTTCTATCTCTTCGGAACCCGTTCTGCAGGTCACCTAAAATGTTTTTGGCATATTCTTTCGTTCTTCTTTTTACTACCTGCATTGCTAGTCTGTAGAGGACCGAACTTACTCTCATTGGGCGGTATAATGTTATGCTATCCTTATTTCCCTTGCCCTTTATATACCAATCTCATTCTGCCTTGTCTCCAATCATTGGGTACATCTCCCGCCATTGTTATTTGATAAATTGCCTATCTTCTTTAATTTACTCCTTGTTTCCAGTGTCTTGACTATACCCGTTTTCACCTCAAGAAAACAGTAAGTTTTGCGCATTGTTCATACGCCGCGCGAAATAGTTCTCGCCAGATTTGGTTGTCGGAGGCACAGGCGATGCTTTTGGCGTTTGAAACGTGTAATCCTAGACAAGATAACGTGTATACACTCTAAAATGCTAATAAATATATCTTAAATCTCCACCTAAAGGTGAAATTTAGTAATCATCCGCGAGAAGCGGGACTTTTTTTCCTATGGTTTTTGAGGTGAAAAGAGGTATAGTCTCATTCACATGCCATCTGGGCCTGTTGCCGTTCCAGCAGGCACTTTACTTCCTGCCTCGTCCCATTTCCCCGTGGTCATCTCAGCTGTCTCGCTAGTGTTCTCGTCTTGTGCAGTGTTGCCGTTTGTGTTCTGTCCAAACTGGTTCCTTTCAAGTTCTGCGAATGTTGCCTCCATCGTTCGTCTAATAAAATCTCTTGCCTTCCTCGCCCTCTACACTTATCCCCTCTCGTGCGGTCAATGAACACAGGACCCCTTCTGTTTTTCTTCCCTGTGCATTAATGCGCTCCCAAAACCTTTTTGCTGCAATCCTATCATTTTGATTTACTTCCATCATCCACTGCACTCCAACCCTACCAATATTGGCCTGGATTAAAGCAGATATGAGTGACCGAGCCTTGTGCATTCCAGAATGACATGCTGTGGCGTATCGAATCCCTACCCGGATATAACGCACGTTGCAGCATCCCGCTCTTGATATTTGACCTTGTACATTCTGGTTCTCAAAACCACTATCATAACCTCAAATACTAACGTACTTACTCTAGAATTTTCAAATGCTCCATCGCTTTTTATTATGTTTCCCTTGCTCTGTGCTTTTCCAAAGCTGGTTTCTTCTGCGCTCTTGTCTTCATAATTTTTTCTACCTTTCTTTTACAATATTTTCCACTGTTCCTGCGTGTACATCTTCCCGTGCTACACCAGTACCTTGATTTGAGTTGTCGGGTTCGTTCCTTCCAGCTTGTGTCTAAGCTGTTTATATGTGTATATGTAATCAAGTATTCCGCCTGTCCATCTTTTTTCAGCTATTTCCCTCAAAAATTTAAATTCTAGTTTGATATTTTCCTTTCTTGCCTCAAACGAAAAACCCAGAGCCCCCCTCACACCTTGAATAAGGGTTTTCTCATGACCATCTAGAGCCAACTTGTCTACACCACGCTAATTGACCTCTAGCCTTGCTTGACTGTGCTTCCGGCGTTAGGCGCAAGCGTAAAGTAGGCCAGGTTGGGTCGCGCCGTCGGGTTCGTGTTCAAGAAGGTTGACTGCCGGAGGCCCGCCTTCTTCAAACAATTTGTTTGTTTCCTTCTTTAACAGGTCAGATGTTCGCAAACATCATGTACGTCTACGGCGAGACGTCATGGTATTGTGTGGCAGAGGACTGGTGCGGCAACGTAGTGGAGTGCACAGGCTCATCAGTTGGCAAAGGAGGAGGAACTGTCGAAGCTGCCTCGCTCGTTCGTTGCATCCCACTTCGAAAAGGGGCGTGAACTTTTATTACGAAAGGAGCGCAAAGACGCTGAAGTACGTGGACCCACCAACAGCAGCGTTCAACTGAATCACTTGACTGTGAACTTGCTGCAATCGATCGGACGCAGGTGTCGTTGACTTAGTGTTGACGTGGTAGGGTACACATAACCGCAGATACCACAGCGCGGTGGTGGCGGTGGAAGGACGGTGGGATGGCGCGATCGTGCAGTTGTTGTCCTGTCCTCGGGTACCTGGACTGTGACGCGTCGACTCCACCAAGTGACAAAGCACACAACTTCGGCACCCTTGGTCCTGCCGAGACTGATGATGTCGCGGGCGTGAAGGGTATTCCAAGACTCATCGCGTTCTTTGATAACCGATTTTCAAGCGATCATCAATATCCGGCATTTAGAACGAAAAAAACAACAAGCGTTCGATTATTATTTTCGCGCATTATTGATATTTTTCGACCTATTTCTGAATGTTTCGAGTATATTTTAAAGTTTCAGTTCAGTATTCTTTAAATGTATTTCCCGCCACAACAAATAGGAAAAAAAAAAAAAGATAGGTAACGTTTTTCAACCCTCATGTCCGGGCAGTGGAAGCAGGAGCGCGGGATCTTTTCAGAGGACCCCGGGGGGCCATAGGTCGGAGCCTGGGTGAACGTTGCGGAGGCCCGAGGGCACATGGGCGATTTGCAAAGCGAGGCCAGAGGACAGGGCGCACGTCTGGTGGAGGAGCGGCCCAGTTCTCCCAGGGAAGGTGGGGAGGAAGAACGGTGTCGGAGGAGAAAGTGGAGAGAGTGCTGGGAGCGCGGACATGACCAGCATGTGTACAGCAGTCTGGCACGAACTTTGCCCCACGAAAATCTGATAAACCAAGTTAGACAGACAGCTAATGACAAGATGGGAAAGGGGGGGGGGGGGGTTTGTTAGATTCATGCATCAACATTTGTTTGACCAGCATTACGCAGACATAGGCAGTACGTAAGTACGTAGTAGGATACATTTATTTGGAGCTCATACAAACACGTCACTCTTCAATAAATATTGAGCAATTTGGAATATCCAACCGGACATACATTTTGACGCGCAGAGGTCCATTACTGAACGCTATGTGTGTCAAGCTACGCTACACTATTCCACATCGTAGAAAACGTCACGTGCGTTAAATTATTTATGTTCAAACCCGTTCAGCTTAAACTATTTCATTTGATCTACACATTTAAAATTAGGGTGTCAAAAACATGCAGATATTCGCGACTTAAAAAAATAAAACCTAACGTCATGGACAACATTCGTCACACGGCCTTTTTAACAGTCCATTTCGTGTGGCTTTGTCAACAATCTGAGATTAAAATCTCTCTATGGTCATAAAAGACAAATGACAGCGAGGCTGCTGTTCAACAAAAACACAATATAAATATCTTCACGAGAAACCAGTCGGCATGGTACACAGTAAAACACAGCTTTCAATTTGCACGCTTCACGTTTTCACACACGATGGTTACAGTTCTGATATATTATCCATATACAAACAGTCATCACATGAACACATAAAAAAAGTATCTCCACGGTTGACCATCAATTTTCGCTTGCTGTCATTTGAAGCTACATACAGTGTTTCGCTTCTTGTCGTCCTTTGTACTCACAGGCTAACCTTGTTATCACGAACCATTACACCATGCAGGATGACGTTATTCGTTCGAAATGAAACTACGACGAACTTGAATAAAAGATCGGTCCAAGGGACTAGTCCTCGAAAGACCGGCATTCACATTGTGGGTCCAGTCTATATTGCATCCCAAGTGTCATGTAATTTAAGGGACCGCTTAGCAGATAATCAATTCGACAAAACCAGACTTCCAGGAGGCGAACGTCGAACAAATTCGTGAAAACAAATGACAAAAGCAGCCTGTGAGGTATACGCTAGTCGCAGTTTAGCGGTACCATTTTTTTTTTTTTTTTTTTTTGCTTTCCCTCGGCAGTTTTTTGTTCGAAAAGTACGCAGGTGCGATGGAAGTGTCCTGTCGTTAGTCGCATTGCGTGTCCTCAATAACTAGTCCCAAAAAGCGCATCTCTCTTTCCGTCAAGAGAGTTTGCGAGTCACAGCCTAGATGCTTGTCCCTGCCACCGGCGAACAGGCGCGCTATAAGATTTGCACGGAGCTGGAGAAGGACACCTTCTTTCGGGCCAGGGTCTCGAGGCTGCAGTCGCTGGCGCTGGTCTTGAGGGTCGCCATGAGGGACACGGACCGGGCGAGGGGGCACGACGAGGCCCTGCCCTCGGGGCTGGGCACGTGCAGCGTGGGCGTGCACACGCTGATGCTCGACCCGATGCGCAGGTGGCAGTGGGACTCGCCACCGAAGCACTTGAACGAGTGCAGCACGGCCCCGCAGTCCGATCGCAGGATGCCCTTCGGGGTGCGACCGTAGTCGGCGGACTCGTACGCGCTGTCGCTGCGAAGGTGCATTTCACCGTTAGAACGTCCGTGGACCACCGCTCAGACATCCTTGAAAGGACACGCTGCAGATATGACATCTAAGGGCACACCACAAGCATGTCCCAAGCTTGTTTGTTTTATGCATGCTTCGGACATGTCTGCAGAAAGTTTTTTGTACGATCAATGGGACCGTCAGACAATTGGAAGACAGTGTCTGCAGACTGCCTTTTGTATGATGTGCTTTCGAGGCCCTTTCTGCACTATGATAGCGAAGCCCGGTAACGATAACGCGGGTAACGTTATCGAAAACTGCGCGGAATTGCCTGACAAGGTGAGAGCGGCAGGGAGGAGTTTCATTTGCCCACCGCAAGCTTCCTATCTTTTACGAGGCTTCGGCGTCTTCTTTGCAACTCGAGCACGCGCGCTTGCAGCCAAAGCACGACGGCAGGAACCGAGCGCGTGCTGGAGGCCGGGCGTTCGAACGACACACCCTCCCGTTCTCATTCTGCCACTGACTATAGTTGTTCAAAGAGCGGCACATTTTGCGGGACAGGGCGGTAGTCGAAGCCAATGGGAGGTACTTGAAAAGGGCCCCCGCGGTGAGCGCTGGAGCAGGAGCCAACGTTCCGCTCAGAATTCGAGCCGTGTGGGCCGCCCCCTGAGGCTCCCTGTGGCTTAATTTCCAAGGGCAGGTTGATGAGACGCTAACCGACGCACTTTCCGGAATAATAAAGTGGAAAAATGTTTCAACATGTATGCAAAATAAGGAATATTTAATGCTCTATGCTGTTTTGCCCTTTTCACGGCCAGATTTTTAGCGCCAAAAGCATGACACGAAAATCATACTGCAAAGCAGTCGCTGAAATAAGTATTGACTGTAGAAGTGCAAGCCAGCTAAATGCAACCCGAAGTCAGCCACGTCAAGTTCTTCATTTATTGAATACCTGAGGGCGTAGGTTATAAAGGGGCCATTGGCTGTGCCGGATACTCCTGTGCACTTGAGAATATGGTTCACTCACTATGTATACCCAGCCGATACTGAAACCAAGCACCGCGCAAAAACACCGTGCAACACAATCCTAAGTTTCAAATTACACTATTTATATTAATCAATACCACCAGATTTCCTTCATAGCCCCGGTACCACGAAAGTTAACTCTCAAAAAGACTCGTCTGCCAGCGACACCGATCATAGAATGCACGCGCAATAGTACTTGCTCGGCGTCAGGTATTGTTATCGCATAAGAACTATCTACTAACTCGGGAAAAACAGGACGATGCGCAGGAAAATATGCGTGCCGTTTTCAGGCAAAAGGCGCGTTTCCACAGAAAGCATGTGCCCCCAACTACTGCCTCGCGGCCCGTTACGTAAAGCGTCGTTCACACACTTGCACCCGAGTATAGGACCGAGATAGACAAGACTTGTTTTTAAAGCCTCTTACGACGGCGTAGGGCCCGCTCCGCAGCACCGCATCTGGTCGTACGCCGTCGCAAGAAGATCAAAAACCGGTCTTGTCTCTTTCGGTCCTACTCGGTTGCAAGTGTGTAAACGGGGCTTTAGGGTTCAATCTTAGGGTAAGTTGGTAGTACGCTTGGAACTAAAAGCAGCCCTAAAGAATAACGGAAAAGAAAACCAAGAGAGGGCACCGACATACAACCGAGGGGAACAAAAACCAAGATGCAGATACACCTGGTCACTCCTCAACTTGTACCTTGACAGATGCCCCATAAGCAGGACCAAGGACTTTTAGCCAACACAGCCTACCGAACACCAGGCCCGTAAACCACTACACACAAACAAAAATACAAACAAAAACATTGGTGCGTTTTGACTGTTGAAGCACCGATTAGGCGCACGTGGTGCATCATCCTACGACAGGCTCTGCTGTCGTCGCACTGGTGCGACGAATACAGGAGCTTTAATGTGACGTCGATTAAAGTGTGACATTTCACACTGCCTGAGGAGCAGTACAAGGACTTTATGTTACCAAGGTGGCCCCGCTTTGGAGCGAGGTATAAGGCCCCTTGAGCGTGTTCGTTGTTTAACTTACAAGTAGCATCAAGTACGCCAGTGCACGAGGACGTGCATCGATTGTGCCGTTCTTGGAAGCAACTGATAGTGCTGCACTGAAATAAGCGGCCCTTGGAAACGAATGGCAGAGCACCACTCGCTCGTGGCACGCGTCTCGCGAGCTTGCACAACAATGGTTGTCTGAACTTGCAAGAAAGCCAAATTTTATTGAGGGTCTGTAGACGCTTAGCAGCAGCTATGCATAAGAGCTGCTACAACCGACCTCCAGTTTTGTATCCCCTCATTTTATTTACTTCACTTCATCATTACCAAAGCAAACCATGTTATTGCCATTTTTGATTCTACTGTGTCCTACCAAGAATCGGCTTTTGTAGAGGCTCGTCAACGACTGTTTCAGTGGCTCCGTATCTCGGTGAGACAAGAGAAAGACAGCAATGGCGGCTGTAATCTGGCGCGTGCGCAAAGCGTCTGTACCAGAGTTAGATCATAAAAGTTGGCGCACCCAAAGTCACTGGACGGGAAAGTAGTGCCATTGACTTTCCTGCCTGCTAGCAGGACAAACAGATACGAACGACCGAAACCTCGCAAATCGATTGGCTGATTGGTCTTTGTTGCCATGGTAATCGCCATTTCGGTCCATACAAATCTTCGAAGCTTCAAAAGGGTTGATCTGGACCAGCCGCGCCAAGGTCGCCATGGACCTCCATCGTACTAAAGATGCGAAGAAAAGCAGTCATGCTTATCTCCACACATCTCTTAAAATGTCATTGTACAGAGCGCGACACTGTCAGCGTGAACAAGCGATCGCCGGTTTTTCAGTTTTTCTCTTTGAAACCAAGGGATGTCATCCAAGTTATGGAAAGAGCTAATTTAGTTCGAAAAAGTAAGCGATAAAATTTCGTGCTCGCTAATACTATTTAGAAGTAAAATGCGAAAATGCGCCGATGTCGTGTTCGCGCTAACTCTGTCGCGATGTGTATTTCTTGCGTATGTCAAGACCGGGAAATTATTTTTCAATGCCGCCAGGCAACGATGCCGCTTGTGGTGGCGGTGCGAAGGTGTGTGCTTGTTTTGTCGGTGTGTGAATAACAAAATCTCGGTATACAAGAAATGCCTTTCTAAAACAACCTGTCACCACGAATTTGAATCGGCTCGCGAAAGAATGAAAAGCTCAAGGAGAAATCGCTTACTATTGCATGGATCACAACCACATGAAGAAATTGGCGCTATTTTCCAGGATCCAGTGGCTTTAGTAGCACCTAGAGCACACTCAGTGACTCTACACCCGGCGTCAATTATTTTGTGCTACATTGTAAAGGCTAGCGTAGCTTCTGCAGTGCTCTAACACGTTCAATTGCTACTTGCACCGGGACGTGCGAATGCAAAAGGTAGTCGCGTGCACGTGCTATCGCAGCAGCGCGGGGCTTCAGCACCATGAAAGCTACGCTTAGGCTTTCGCAACGCAGCACGAAATAGTTGTGCACCAAATAATGGCGCGCGAAATCCACGGCATCTATCTAGCGGTCGGGACAAAAAGCCGTGTCTGCAGGTTCGCACGCCAGCCTTCTCGAGCGAGTCATATGCACAGCGCCTGGCGTTCTAATGACAAAGCCGTGAAAGTAGGTTCGAAAATACGCGATGAAAATCAAAATCTTCAATAGGCGCACCTCTAACTATCGTTAGTACAGCTCTATTTGCAGAGTAGCTACACTAGGTGAAGCTATATTTCAGTCTTGGTGCACAACGCTACCAAAGCTACTGGCGCGAACCAGTAGGTTGTGTGACGTCCCATGCCGGTTCTTCCCAGTCTACACCCGATTGCTGCTTTGGAACTCCTGACACAGGCTGCCGGCCTTCTGTGGGAAAGTGGTCGTTGCATCGCCAGGCGGTTCCTGTCCAGCTACAGAGCGCGGACCCAGACTGGCTCTTCGATAGACTGCACAGGATCGGTCGTGCGGGCGCTGCTGCGGTGTGGCCGGTTGAGAGCAGTCCACGCGAGGGTCGTCGCCAGGAGTTCCCTCTGCTGCGTGTCAGTTGGCCTCGCGTGGACTGCACATAATCGCACGTACGTGTGTGAGAAACCAGAAACTCACGTTGTGACCTACTTGAACCTTTAAAGCGACTTTAAGCCTTTCATATCTGTTGCTCCCGAACGCGTAATCGGAAAAACTAAACTGCGACTGGGTGACAAATCTCGTGTGGGATTTGTTTTTGGTCTGCGGGCGAGGGCGCAAGGGACGCTGCGCGACTCTCGATGTAAAGTCCTGCTCTCGCTTTGGCGAGCGAACGCGCATGTTGCCTAATAACTTGGGCTAGTGTGATACCATTTTGAACAATAAATAGAGCAAAGGACAGGCAAGGACAACAACACAAACACGGGACTAGCGCAAGTCCCGTGAAGATGAGCTGCATGCAAAGGGAGTGATCATGTGTGCGACGAAGCTCCGTCCCCGCTGTGGCTCCTCAGTCGGGAGCCGACAACATCTCGGCTTTGGGTTCCTCGTTCGTTGTAACGCGTCTGGTAGTCGACAAGGACCCGGTACCCTCAGAGCTATTTCTTCTTTCTCGAAGGCTTAGCCTCGAGAACCGGTAATTTTTGAAAACCTTAGAAAGGATAAAGCCTTAGGACAGGCCTCATGCGGCTTTCCAAAGGAAAAAGTGCGGCAAGCGGCACTCTAAACAAACCTACCCCTAACCCTCCCCCCCTTTCCCTCTCCCTATAAAAAGAAAACGCATATCGAAAAAAGGACAGCTTGTATTTCTTAGCTTTTTGACATTATACATACATCGGCCAAGGTCCTTGTTTTACGAACGGGGGCTTACAACAAAGAAACATTCGGAACAATCGTTTTATGACTGGAATTTGCCGTGACCACCAGCCGAGAAGAGAAAAGTTTTAAAAAGTGGCAAGCCCTATTTTTATTGCGGTATGAATGGTTCCTCTTTATGGCACTTCAAAGTGGTACGGAAACGAAATAACGTGAGCGCAAGCTCTCTGCCCCTCGCTTCAAAGTCGGCCAGCAAGAAGCGCAATGCGTATTGCGCTCGTGACGTCAATAGTTTTTGCACGGTTAAGGGTACTGTAGTTGCTAGCCTTGCCGCTTGGTGGCGTCAACGCGTGACAATCTCGCCTACTAGTAATATCCGAGGACTGTACGCCTATGGCCTTTACACTAGCCTATAGACATTAAAAAACAGCGTGTGGCCGGTGCCGTTTTTAGTGTTCGTGCGTATGGTGCGTGCTATATGCTCGCTTTCCGATGTGACTAACACACACGTGCTGGGCTGTGAAGGTCGCACGCTGGACTGTGATTTTGTAAACAATGAAAGGTCTATAGGGGGTATTCACGGGAGGCACGATGCTCGAGAACTACTTGTTCTGGAATTTCACAACCAGCGAACAACGCGCGTGCACAGCTTTCATCAGTGTCAAGGTGCGCGAGCCCACGGGTGCCCATAGCACGAGGATACACGTTCAACGTTCATTCCACACAATCAGAACCGTTGTTCTAGTAAGACGATAAATGGAAGCTAGTTCTGAGCATGGACTGTGAACAGCGTGCAACAATATGGCGTCCCGTGAATACCCCCTCCCCCTATGCATTGCTTGACCGTAATATCATTTGCGGCCAGTGCGGGTATTTTATGCGCCACGAGTGTTCGTTTCACCGTGTTAGTTCCACACCGCAGAGGTAATGGTTCGAGGGAGAAATATCCGCCAGTACCCAGCAATGGCGTATGGTTGGGGTGACACAGAGCCGTATATGTAGAGAGTTCGGCCATTCGTTCGTGTTCGTGTTCGTTCGTGTTCGTGTTCGTTCGTGTTCGTGTTCGTTTTTACCGTGTTAGTTCCACACCGCAGAGGTAATGGTTCGAGGGAGAAATATCCGCCAGTACCCAGCAATGGCGTATGGTTGGGGTGACACAGAGCCGTATATGTAGAGAGTTCGGCCATTCGTTCGTGTTCGTGTTCGTTTCACCGTGTTAGTTCCACACCGCAGAGGTAATGGTTCGAGGGAGAAATATCCGCCAGTACCCAGCAATGGCGTATGGTTGGGGTGACACAGAGCCGTATATGTAGAGAGTTCGGCCATTCGTTTGTGTTCGTGTTCGTTTCACCGTGTTAGTTCCACACCGCAGAGGTAATGGTTCGAGGGAGAAATATCCGCCAGTACCCAGCAATGGCGTATGGTTGGGGTGACACAGAGCCGTATATGTAGAGAGTTCGGCCATTCGTTCGTGTTCGTGTTCGTTCGTGTTCGTGTTCGTTCGTGTTCGTGTTCGTTTTTACCGTGTTAGTTCCACACCGCAGAGGTAATGGTTCGAGGGAGAAATATCCGCCAGTACCCAGCAATGGCGTATGGTTGGGGTGACACAGAGCCGTATATGTAGAGAGTTCGGCCATTCGTTCGTGTTCGTGTTCGTTTCACCGTGTTAGTTCCACACCGCAGAGGTAATGGTTCGAGGGAGAAATATCCGCCAGTACCCAGCAATGGCGTATGGTTGGGGTGACACAGAGCCGTATATGTAGAGAGTTCGGCCATTCGTTTGTGTTCGTGTTCGTTTCACCGTGTTAGTTCCACACCGCAGAGGTAATGGTTCGAGGGAGAAATATCCGCCAGTACCCAGCAATGGCGTATGGTTGGGGTGACACAGAGCCGTATATGTAGAGAGTTCGGCCATTCGTTCGTGTTCGTGTTCGTTCGTGTTCGTGTTCGTTCGTGTTCGTGTTCGTTTTTACCGTGTTAGTTCCACACCGCAGAGGTAATGGTTCGAGGGAGAAATATCCGCCAGTACCCAGCAATGGCGTATGGTTGGGGTGACACAGAGCCGTATATGTAGAGAGTTCGGCCATTCGTTCGTGTTCGTGTTCGTTTCACCGGGTTAGTTCCACACCGCAGAGGTAATGGTTCGAGGGAGAAATATCCGCCAGTACCCAGCAATGGCGTATGGTTGGGGTGACACAGAGCCGTATATGTAGAGAGTTCGGCCATTCGTTCGTGTTCGTGTTCGTTTCACCGGGTTAGTTCCACACCGCAGAGGTAATGGTTCGAGGGAGAAATATCCGCCAGTACCCAGCAATGGCGTATGGTTGGGGTGACACAGAGCCGTATATGTAGAGAGTTCGGCCATTCGTTCGTGTTCGTGTTCGTTTCACCGGGTTAGTTCCACACCGCAGAGGTAATGGTTCGAGGGAGAAATATCCGCCAGTACCCAGCAATGGCGTATGGTTGGGGTGACACAGAGCCGTATATGTAGAGAGTTCGGCCATTCGTTCGTGTTCGTGTTCGTTTCACCGGGTTAGTTCCACACCGCAGAGGTAATGGTTCGAGGGAGAAATATCCGCCAGTACCCAGCAATGGCGTATGGTTGGGGTGACACAGAGCCGTATATGTAGAGAGTTCGGCCATTCGTTCGTGTTCGTGTTCGTTTCACCGGGTTAGTTCCACACCGCAGAGGTAATGGTTCGAGGGAGAAATATCCGCCAGTACCCAGCAATGGCGTATGGTTGGGGTGACACAGAGCCGTATATGTAGAGAGTTCGGCCATTCGTTCGTGTTCGTGTTCGTTTCACCGGGTTAGTTCCACACCGCAGAGGTAATGGTTCGAGGGAGAAATATCCGCCAGTACCCAGCAATGGCGTATGGTTGGGGTGACACAGAGCCGTATATGTAGAGAGTTCGGCCATTCGTTCGTGTTCGTGTTCGTTTCACCGGGTTAGTTCCACACCGCAGAGGTAATGGTTCGAGGGAGAAATATCCGCCAGTACCCAGCAATGGCGTATAGTTGGGGTGACACAGAGCCGTATATGTAGAGAGTTCGGCCATTCGTTCGTGTTCGTGTTCGTTTCACCGTGTTAGTTCCACACCGCAGAGGTAATGGTTCGAGGGAGAAATATCCGCCAGTACCCAGCAATGGCGTATGGTTGGGGTGACACAGAGCCGTATATGTAGAGAGTTCGGCCATTCGTTTGTGTTCGTGTTCGTTTCACCGTGTTAGTTCCACACCGCAGAGGTAATGGTTCGAGGGAGAAATATCCGCCAGTACCCAGCAATGGCGTATGGTTGGGGTGACACAGAGCCGTATATGTAGAGAGTTCGGCCATTCGTTCGTGTTCGTGTTCGTTCGTGTTCGTGTTCGTTTCACCGTGTTAGTTCCACACCGCAGAGGTAATGGTTCGAGGGAGAAATATCCGCCAGTACCCAGCAATGGCGTATGGTTGGGGTGACACAAAGCCGTATATGTAGAGAGTTCGGCCATTCGTTGGGAAGTGTAGGAGACAAATAAGGAGGCGCCATTGGCCGAAAGCGGGCTGGGCGTGGTCCAGGGCGTCTTCAGAAATTCGAATGTGGCCAACCAGAAGCCGGAAATAATACCCTGGCGGTGGACGCGAGAAACAAACCTGATAAGTGCATTGGAGTAACCCTCGGTGACTGAGAATATGGTGCACGTGATGTTTCAATCACGGTCATCCAAAATCATGGCGGAATCATGGTGCGGCTAGCGGAATGATCCACATAATCCGCACTCCAAGCGTTGAGGGCCGGGATTCTGCCTTCCGAGCGGTCACACTCTGTGCGAGCAAAACAGAGTTGAGCGGCGCATTCGTTTCTTACATCTTTCTACGTGATCATGATCAAAACATCACGTGCACCCTATTTTCAACCATGAAGGGTTACTACATTTAACTTTTACTTGTTTATTAAAACGACCAAATATGTTTCTCGCCACCGACGCTAGGGGATTCTTTTAGGCTTCTGGTTGACCAAGAGTGCATGTCAAGCCCACTTTCTGCGTCTGGTGCACGTCCTGGCTCTGCCCGCGCCTCTCATTGACCAAATTTTCTGCACACACGGCTCTGGGGTGACAGAGGTTCCCACATCCACATATCAAGCTCCTATCTAACGGCTGCAAAGGACGGCGACCTCGACGGTGTGGAACGCACGTTGCAAAAGTACTGTGCAGCTGCGACTGCAGCCAATGCCAGAACCACGAGAGTTCGAGGTCACTGCTTTGAAGCGTTGTTCCGCAAGACGATCGAGCGCTCGAGCTAGAAATGCATGTCTCAGAGCCAGGAGCGCGGGCTAGCTTGTACTTGCAGCTTTAGCTACAGTCTCAGCTTATGAGCGTTCTCCGCCAAATTACGTTCAGGACTAAGTAACTCCACGAGAGCCATCCTGCCGCGAACTGGCGCTGCTTATTAGAAACACATGACCTGATGCAGGCACGTAGTCAGGATTTTGTTTAGGGGGGGGAGGGGGGGGGGGCGCCCATAAAAAATGCTGTATGAGGGGGAGGGGAGAGAGGAGGTCCCGGCAAAATGGAAGATTTCGGGGGGGGGGGGGAGGGGGGGGGCGCCCCCCCCCTCATTTCCCCTCCGAAATCTTCTTCACAAGCTGCCACCAGCATACCTCGGCAAACCTCACTCATGAGGGCCCTCACTCACCCTCACTCACCCTCATCTTCACAGGTAAGGTGAGGGTGAGTGAGTTTCTGAACCAGGAAACTTCATGAGTGTGAGGGTGAGTGAGGGCCGTGAGGGCGGTGAGGGCCGTGAGGGCCGTGAGGGCGGTGAGGGCCGTGAGGGCCGTGAGGGCGGTGAGGGCGGTGAGGGCCGTGAGGGCCGTGAGGGCCGTGAGGGCGGTGAGGGCGGTGAGGGCGGTGAGGGCGGTGAGGGCGGTGAGGGCGGTGAGGGCCGTGAGGGCCGTGAGGGCGGTGAGGGCCATGAGTGCGTGAGGGGCGTGAGGGCGGTGAGTGGCGTGAGGGCCATGAGTGTGTGGGTGGTGTGAGGGCGGTGAGTGCGTGAGGGGTGTGAGGGCCATGAGTGCGTGAGGGCAGTGAGTGGCATGAGAGGCGTGAGGGCCGTGAGGGCCGTGAGGGCGGTGAGTGCATGAGGTGGGGTGTGACGCCCATGAGTGCGTGAGGGCGGCGAGTACGTGAGGCCACCTTCAGATCGAGCATCTTTCTCAGCAATTTTGATGTTAATGGCGGGTTGTTCTCTAGCTTTCCCTAGGTCGACACGAATCGCTGAGATCGGGTCCGGCTCGAAATAAGCAAGCAACTCGGAGCAATTCGAGTACGTTTAAAGCGGCTGCATCCAATCAGGAACGCAAAATTTTCACGTGATAACTCGTGCCGGTGATGATGACACCGAAAGACTTGGTTCTGGTTTGAAATCGATCGTCTTTTGGAAATGAACTGTTTCAAAAAGGTGCATTAGTATTCATAACAAGATTTAAATGCATAAAAACACGTTTATAACGCGTAATTGTGTCTAAATAGTGCAAGAAAAATAAAAATTTATGATGACGATGGCAAATTGCAGCAATTGGTTGCTGCGTGTGATCGCGGGCGGCCCGTGTTGCTGGTGTTGCGACGTAAAGTTTCTGGGCGAAATTGCCCCATCTGAAGCTGGCCTGAGTGGCGTGAGGGCCATCAGTGCGTGAGGGGTGTGAGGGCGGTGAGGGCGTAAGGGCGGTGATTGGCGTGAGGGCGGCGAGTGGCGTGAGGGCCGTGAGGGCCGTGAGTGCGGTGAGGGCCGTGAGGGCGGTGAGGGCCGTGAGGGCGGTGAGGGCCGTGAGGGCGGTGAGGGCGGTGAGGGTGGTGAGTGGCGTGAGGGCTATGAGTGCGTGAGGACCGTGAGGGCGGTGAGGGCCGTGAGGGCCGTGAGGGCGGTGAGGGCCGTGAGGGCGGTGAGTGGCGTGAGTGGCGTGAGGGCCATGGGTGAGTGAGGGGCGTGAGGGCCGTGAGGGCGGTGAGCGCGTGAGGGCCGTGAGGTTCAGTGAGGGTGAGTGAAGGGCTGAAGGTGAGTGTGACTGTGAGGGTGAGGGTGAGTGAGGGGCTGAAGGTGAGTGTAGCTGTGAGGGTGAGGGTGAGTGAGGGGTTTTGGTGAGTGTGGCTGTGAGGATGAGGGTGAGTGAGGGCGACCTAAAATGCCGACCTCTGGCCACCAGACGCAATTTTGAAATCTGTTCCTTCGTTTTAAAATTAGTCTCCTTGAATTCTCTGCCTGCAGCCCAGAAACACTAGTTTAGGCCAGCGTTTCTGGGCGGTCGGCACAACAAGGACCACATCTAAACAAAGGAATAAAAGTGCAAACACTTCGCTTCCGTACCCATTTAAATATTTTCGTCAGGCCACCGCTGCCTTATACAGAGAGGATCGAGGAGTCGTGCCCGTGCAGTCCCAGGCACGAAAGCGCGTGCTTGAGTGCCGAGGAGAGCGGTGCACGACCCTGAAGCTATTTTTTTTCTTCTTAATATGCTGCCGATTTGTGCAAGGGGGTGAGGACGTGATGCCTAGTTGGCAGACATGGGCGCCTTTTGCCCCATTCTTCTAACGTTTGTCCGACTAAAACATTGATTTTTTATTTTAACTTTTTCCTTTGCGCGAGGAGGAGACGCCGATCTTGCTCGCACGGATTGGAGGGAGGCAGAGGGCAGAGACAAAGACAGCGGGCATTTGTATCTATAGCCTTGCAGTTAGAGCTAGGCGCTCTGACGTCGCCACATCCTACGCGCGTGAAAGCGCCTAGCTTCGGTTCGAAGGATAGCAGGTGGAGTCTTTGTTTCACCGTTCATCGAGACACAACAGTGACTCGCACGCGACGTCTTGACGTGACCGTCGGTTCGTGAGGAAAATAGGGCTGTAGGAAATTTCTGTGAAGTAGGGTCAATATCCCGTCCCCTTCCCTCTCTCCCCCCTCCCCAATCTAAAAAAAAAAGAATTGCATAACGACTTTGCTGTGATTTACAACTTAGTCAATATCTGCTAAGTCGTTTCATGGCTTGTATATACGTATAGAGGCGGTACGCTTTTCCGACCGAAAACAGAATTTCACAGATATCACGGACACGTCGCAGAAACCCGAGACGAAAATCGGAGAAAAACGGAGCACGCGAAAATCCTATGTATGACATTGTTAAAAGCACATCTACGAGTTCGGTATAGCAAATACCATAATTAAAAAAAAAAAAAAAATCATAAAATAAAAAAAAACGGTGCGAAACTATTTTTGTATGCTCGAATTTCAATCGGACCGCCGGAATAACTTCGGCATGATTTCAGCAGAACACAAAGTATCAGCTGAGAAAACCGAGCCAAGGTTCTCGCATTTGAAAGTGAACTACGCATTGCCGAATGCCCGAACTCGTCCAGAAATATGTAGCGCCTGTGCCCCAAATGACAGCCTTTGCGGTTATTGGAGTTTGAAGCGAAAAACTGAGAAGTCGTCGACACGCAGGAGTACACGGAGTGCCTCTGTTTTCCGTGGCATCTCAGACAGAGCCACCGCCCATAGCAAACGGACGTAATGAACGCCGTGCATTCGGAATTGATACCGCTTGTCATAGGTAGCGGCGCCATCTGGGATATCCGGCGCCAAACAGACTCTCTCCGTCATGGTCCTTACTGCATCTTCTTATAGGCCATGATCAGTTTTTCATTTCCAACGCTCTACTGCGGTAGCTTTAAGTTTTGAAACTTTGTCGTCTCAATTAACCAACCGCCGGCGCTACATTCCTTCCGAGCTTCCTGCAATGCGTAGCTTGTCTCTGAGGGACAAAAACACGGCTCGCTTTCTCTCCGTGTCGCGTCGCAGGGCGCTGCACGTACCCAATCTCGTCGAAGACGTCGTCACGCAGGGCAAGCACGATGGGGGGCCTGGCCTCGGGACTGTTCCCGGCGTCCGTACCTCTGACCACGTCCTCGATCTCGGCCATCGTCAGGTTCGTCTGAATGAACAGGTGCAGGCTCTTGTTGGACAGGTACAGCGGCTCGCTCAGCACCCTGCGCTCGACGGCACGCGCGGCCGCGCCATCAGGAACACGCAAGGTCACGGAACACGATTTATTCGGTGCTCGAGGGAACGTGGAGAAATTTTAGGCCTCCAGCGAGAGTGCACCCGCGTTATCTCAATGAATTTTTAATGACCAAGTCTTCTTAAAGGAAGTATTCACTGGCGGCCATAGCTGTGTCCACGACTGCTGAGCGCGTGCTGATGGCGAGCTTCCACAGTTCTTTTGTAACGTGTATTCCGCACCCGCAAGATTGCCGGTCTTAGCAGCTTATTAATGTGGGCTGGTTCAGAGCCTGCGCTCTAGACGTCACCCACAAATATGGCGCCCAGTGAATACTCCTTATAGCCCAGCCAGACGCGAACGTTTAAGGCCCGACCACAGGGGGCGTAGTTTCATGCGCTTCGCCCGCGCCAGCGCCGGCGCGCGTCGCTCAAGGTCAACAAGAATGAAACGCGCGGGCTGACGCCGATGGTTGGTTGGACGAAATTTGTTTAGATGGGGATTGAACTCGCCGAGACAGATATCGGCGTGGAGTGACGCACGCCGATAGGAAGTGGCGCTGACGCGGGCGAAGCGCTTGAAAAACGTGTCATGTGGTTGAGCCTTAAAGGCCCTCTGAAGAAACTTCTCAAATTAATTTTGGTTTGAGATAAATTATTTCTGATTGCGATTAAACTAATTTCATATAATTTAGTGGGCTAAAAGAAAGAAGAGAGAGAGGCAAAAGTCGGTCTATTAACTCCTCTTCTTCGGAAACTCTCGTCCCTTTTACTGTGATCAACCGTGATACATCCGCGGTACCCAAAGCACACATCGGTGGCCGGGTAGGCTAGCGCGCACTAGCTCGGACAACGTGGAGCGAAAGCTCGCGCTGCACAACCCAGGGATCCTGAGTTTAATCCCCACCCCTGCCTGTTTCAATCTGGATGAGCATCGTACCGGCGTGCGGTCGTGTAGTATCACTGCTGCGTGATGCACGCGTTAAAAACACCAGGTTAGCGGTTGTACTGCACTGGCTTAATTTCTCATCTACAGCTGGAAGACTCGTCGCCCGTTGAGGCAGAAAAAGTTCTAGGCCTTATAAACATACACACAATACAACATTCCCAGTGATAAATATATCGTCAATGGCGAGTTTTACAATAGGGGGCCCCACAGCTTTGGGTGCCCCAAACAGCTTGGGGCATCGCTATGGGCGTGCGCAGGAGTTCTGCGCATGCGCACTGGGCCGCCTCAAGCTGTCTGGGGCACCCAAAGCTGTGGGGCCCTCTATTCTAAAACTCGCTAATGTAACGAAGATATATGGCGGGAATCTTGGCGCAAGTCCACGCAATGGTCTCATCAAACTTGCCCATAAAAATATTAGCGTAATTTGGGGACACGAACCATTTAACGGGTGAAACGTGCGCAACTCATGTAGTTGCAAAAACCCGAGTCAAAATATATAAAAAAAGAAAGCCATGGACCTTTTAACCCCACGCGCGTCGGACAGCGCGTGTGTTGCGATGTAAATCTTCGCCACCGCGAGGGACGCAGCAGTCCGCAGGCGAGTCGTTCTAATCTCAACTCTGTGCAGCCCTACGCTGCTGGCCGTCACACTTTTCCTTCTATCCACCATACTTTGACGGCGCTGTGGAAACTGCACCAAATTTTACTATTCACAGCACTCGGAGGGAGTTAATAGCACCAGGGCAACACAGCATTAAAATCATCTGGTGGGCTAGCTTGGCTATACATCTTGGTAAAATTAGCGCTAAGACAAGACGGGAAGAACGTAGAGATAGGAAAGAGCGCTACTTACAACCGGCGTTTAATACTAAGTGAGAGAAAGACAGAGAAGTACTGGCATTTAAAATAGAAAAAAAGAAATACACGAATAAAAACATGAGAAATTGTCAGTGATAGCGGGTCCGGAAGAGAAAGAGAAACAAGTAAAAGGAAGAGACGAGAAAAAAAAGAACGGGGGAAGAAAAGGGGTTAAGGTCGATGGTTGGCCGCGTTGTCCAAAACAACAGCGGTCTCCAGGGCACCAGGGAAACCTTTGTTTATGATTTGAATGGCGAGCACTTTTCCCGGAGACCATGTCAACAGTCCTTTGCATTTTGTCGCATCCAACTCGCCGCCGGATTTTGACGTCAGAGACACAGATCCAGATATATCTCCGTTCTTTCTCCGAAAGGGCGACTGACGGAGCACTTTTTTCACCATCATGTGCGCTTCGTAAATTGCCCTACTTCTTTTTTTCTCTGAAACGTTCCAACACTTTTGTGCTTATGAACAATGGGGTGCATTGACAGTCCCCAACGTGCACCGCTAGATGTCCCGCTGGTGAAGCCTTGAGCGCGAGGTCATGCTCTCTTCATCTGGCATTGATAAAGAGGCCCGACTGCCCCACATAGACTTTTCCGCATGAAAAGGGTATTCCGTAGACTACTCCACTGAAGTAGTCTACATACTTGTGTTGATGATTTACTCTTACGAAACACACATATATATACACCGCATATATGCGTGTTTCCTAAAAATAAACTTCAGTTGCAAGTAGCGCTCTTTGTTGATGATTTACCTTGCATCCAACATTTTCTTCAGTTTTTTTGTTTATTTTTGTGCAAAGTCTTTCGAGTTTGTCGGTGCCGAGACTGCTACCTGGACCTCGTACTTTGAGGCTACTCTTTTGAGATTATGTGACAAGCGATGTATGTAGGGCACGACGGCAAGACGCCATTGTGCCCATCCTGTGGGGCACAATGGCAAATTCTGTGGGGCACCACAGCATTTCGTGCCACAGTAGATTTCCGGTAAAGTGCATTTATAGCTATTGAACCACAATTTAGTTTACTTCAGAAAACCTATGATTGCAATCAGGGCCGAAAACAAGCGAATGTCAAAAAAATATATAAAGAAAACCGGAAGTGCGCAAGGGTCCGCCGATAGTGGGCGGTAGTGGGTTTAATGGAAAACAAACACCAGGAAGGGTTTTAGTACAGTAGGCCTCAACGCTTTGGGTGCCCCAAGGAGCTTGGGGCGTCGCAGTGCGCATGAGCAGAACCTCTGCGCTTGCGCAGTGCGATGCCCCAAGCTGGGGGCCCCAAAGCATTGGGGATCCCCCCATTCTAAAAACCGTATAATGCCGCAAAATAAGGTTGACGCGGATTAGGGCGATTTGTGGGCCCCCACAAGTGGGTCCAAGCAGGTGAAGGCGAGACGTCGAATAGCACGACACGAGCCGGCCGTCGCGCTCCGCGATTCGAGGTGGCAGGGAATAATTACCGTCTTAAGAAAGACTCCAGCCCCCTGCGCCTATTTTCGATGAATTCGCTGTCAAATCTCTTCAACAGCAACGTTCTGGAGGGCATGCGTGGTGGAACCCTAAAGGGAGACCAAACAGAACTCTCATTAATTGCGCCACAGGACATGATACGAGTCCCCCGAGAACGCGCACCAGCCGGATCCCGGCATTACGGGAACGAGCGCTTCGCTCCCCACATCGCGTAGGAGAAAAACTGAGCAGGCTGCCTCCTTCTCGAAGATGGGGAGGAGGCTGGCAACAAGCTGGCTCTTCTTTTGATAACATGCTCACAAAGACAACGAGGGCGAAATTGCTTTCGCGACGCCCTTCGCCTCAGTGTCCGCTGAGAAGTACTGTCGATATCTGATGTCTCAAATCGCCCTTCGATGCAGTACACGTTGAAACATAAAAAAAATAATTTTTTTTGGACGCCTAACGGAACAAGTGAAAGAAAAAAAAAATAAAATGAACACGTACGATAAGGAGCGACGCCGGCACATTTTTAATGAAACAAACGAAGGAGGCGTCTGTGTCATTCGTTGTCTGACGTACTTGGTCGTTCGTTTGTTTCATGAACTATGTTGTTGCATATCAACACAGCTAGACGTATGGGCTGGGCGGCGATGAAACATTTAACCCGATTAATCGCCACCATTTAATTGATTAATCGGTCTTGTTCATTTCCATGCCTAATATTAGAAAGAAATAGATATGTATGTATATCACCAATTAAAAAAAAGCTGTGAAAGTTACTGATGTTTGTGCGCGTGAGTAATACGGCAAGGTAGACATGGTATAGGAGGTTAGTTGTAATGATCAGTCCACTAAATAAGTAAAATTTGTTAACTATTAAATTAGTGAAAACAGACATGGTTCCAATTAGAAACTTGCTGAACGTCATTTAAACCCACTAAATCAGCAAATTTTAGAAAGACACCGCGTGAGAAGCGCAGAAGTGCGCTAAAGTTACCACTGGCGGACCAGCAGCAAGGCTACCGGTGAGATCGCCCATGCGGCATTTCCACCTCTTATCAAATCCCCCCCCCCCCCCCTCGGTTTTCTACTTGTTGCGCGAGTGTAATGCCTTTAGCGCACTACTACGCTTCCCACGAGCTCAAAGTATTTCTAAAAATGATTGACTTAGTGGTTTTGAATAACGCTCAGTTAAGTTTCTAATTGGAGCCATATGTCAGGGTTCAGTAATTAAGAAGTTAATTTACAAATTGTACTTAATTAGGCGACTGATCGTTATGATTAGCGTCATATACTATGCCCACCTGGCCGCAAAATCAAATGCACAAACCAAATATGTGTAGCTTTCACGGCTTTAAAAAAATATGTCACTCTTAGAAAACACACACACGAGTGCGTGTGTGCGTGCGTGTGTGCGCCTGTGCATCTCTGTGTGTGTAGAAGGCTAGCGGTTGCAATAAGGTGCCCGGGTAATTTCTTGCCTCTTATCAGAGCCCCAGCCTTTTGCCTGGTCCACGAGTGGTAACTTTAGCTCGCTACGTTTCCCACGTGCTCGAGGTCTTTCTGAAAATTACCGATTCAGTACTTTTCGATGATGCTCAGCAGTTTATAATCGAAACCATATGTAAATTTTCACTAATAAAACTTTTAGTCATGCTTAAACAATTAGTGAACTAATTAATAAGTTTATAATTATAAAGCAATTAAATGCAAAGGTGCAAGCGAGCTGGACAAGAATGACGACAATGATCCCTGGAGAAGGGGAACAAGAGGGACAAAGGACAAACATAGATCTCCAAAAACAGCTAGGTGACTGGTGAGCGACCGAAAAAAACCCGCCTGGTCCGGGTCGTCATTCGTCGTAATTAATAAGTATCGTGCGCATATTCTGAAGTCCGCCAGCACGAGTAATGCAGTTCCGGAAAAGTTATCTTTTTACCTGGAATACACGAATCTTAGGAATTTTGGTTAGTAAATACATGCAGTGATGTCTCGTTAATATGAACCCTGTTCCTCCAAAAAATCGTCCATAATATGAGTTGTCCATAATAACGAGACAAGAATGCTTGTGTTTTCCCAGTTTGTCCCCGAAAATGTCCATATAGCGAGGCATCCACACTAACAGGGTCCATATTAACGCGACATGACTGTATATATATAGGGAGTATTCCACGTAACTATAGCCAGGATTTAAAAAAAAAATTGGTGCATTTTTGAAAGACGAAACCAAACGAACAAGTCTTCACTGTTTGGAGCAAATCAGGCTATTTTTTTTTGTATTTTGCCCAATTAACTAATTAATTATGATTCTTTAATAAACTTATGAAATATTCAATTTAGAGCAAAAGCTCCAATGACAAAGTTATAGAGCGTCCTCAGAAACATCCAATTCAATGGTTTGTGTTAAAAAAAAAAAAAAAAACCCTAACACGATTTGTTGTTCTAAGCATCACAAAAAAAAAAGGAGCGAATTTTTTTTTTTTTTTTTAACAGCGCTTGTCAACAGTGCTTTGTTCAACACGCAGACCTAATTTATTCAAGCCACAGCTGAGAGCGCTACAATAAAGGTGCATATGCGCAAAGTCACCCTTTTTTTTGTGTTTTTTTTTTTCATAATTGGGAAATTTTTTTCGAAGCCCATAAAAAGAAAAATGGTGCTGTAAGGAGGCGGAGGGGTGGGGGGGGGGGGGGGGGGGGGGGGGGGGGAGTTGTGAGCCGCATTTTAACATGCGATGAGCCGCAGCTTGGCCACCCCTGACCTAAACGTTTGCATTTCCTACAGGTGCACTCGTCGACGCCCGCGAAGTGCAAGCGTTTAATTTTTACTTCAGTCTGGTTCGTCAAAGTTTTACCGACTAACCGGTTAAAACAAGAATGAATCGCGATTAAAAAAACAATCAATTAAAGGGTGCGATAATCGACGCTGACGCCGAGAAAACGCTTCCTGTGTACTCACACCGTCCCCACTTTCGGAGTGCTTGGATGGATCTAGAGCCGCCTTCGTCTGAACATATGATCGCGTTTCACGAGTTCCCGGAAGGCGATCAGATTTGCATTTTACCAACCAAATCAATTTTAAAAAAATGGCCAGTGCAAAAAAAAAGAAAAAAAAAAAGTAGCTCTCGTTTAGAAAAATTAGTTTGTTTTAATATTAGGCGCGAACGCATGCGCTCTGCACGTTGCTGCAGTGACTGCTGTAAGGTAAACCGCGTGCACTTACAGAGACGGTTGTTGCTCGTTCAGCAGGGACCGGAGATGGCGGAATTCCGAATACCTCCTCCGGACCACGGACCTCGACATGGTGAAGCTGCTGTTGTTCGTCTGCGCGAGAGAGATGCGCGTTATCCTTACGCGTCCGCCAATAAGGACCGGAGCAAGAGACGAGGGCCATACAAAGTGAAACCGGCGTTTTGCCGACTCCCACAGTATCCTCTGTTACGTCATGCAGGGCGGAAGTCGGCACGCGGGACGGGCATTCATGTGTTGTTTTGAAAGAAACCGGACTAACACCTGACCTCTTGTCAAAACGCCGCTACTGGGGCTGCACCAAAGCTTCCGGAAAACGTGTGAAGGACAGTTAAGTTTTTGGTGATTTCTGCTTGCTCGGTCCGTCCAAGATTGTGGATAGGTGTCGTGAAAAAGGAAAACCAGACACCGTCGGATCGCTATTGCCTGTGCGGGAAGCACTTTCGGTTGAATGCACGGATACTTGTAGTCGTCAGATTTATTTGTTTTGTTCCAACATGAACGCGGGAAAACTAAAAAGTTGTTCGGACCACCCACGGTCCAGGTTCAGTGCGTCTTCGTGTTAAAACGACCGTCTGATCGCTCCTGTCGTCTGCTCTATCAAACTCGTCTGCTCGTCCAAACGACAGCGGTCCGTAGACCAAACGTTCACCGAGTAATTGTGTTAAGAAGTGCCGGCATCAAAAGTTCAGACTCTTGCGACCTCTTAGAACTAGGTGCTTTGAAACCTCTTACAATGAGAGGACACACTGGCGCCATCTATTGGGTAGCAGTGTAAACTTGGCGCAAAGTGGAAAGTTGAGCTAGTTGGTTCATGGTTCTTTAAATAATTAAAAGCGCCGAAAAAGACAAGGACAAAGAAGTGGAACGACACAAGGCGCGGAAAGTTGAGCAAACTTGGCCGGTCCGGTATATTTTCTATTTCTCTCGCGCGCATTAAGGCCCGTTCACACTCTTGCGACCGAGTGCGACCGAGAGAGACCAAACCGGTTTTTAAGCCTCTTGCGATCTCTTAGGACCAGCTCCGCTCAGTGCATCCGGTCCCAAGAAGTCTTTCCCGGTCGTACTCGGTTGCAAGAGTGTGAACGCGCCTTCATCCTTTCTTTGTTAGCTCCAAAAAAGTTTGTCAACGTTATAAACGAGCCTTTCTTATAAATATTACGCACATTTGACCTCGGAAATCGTGCAAAGCCTTCGCTCTTGCGAAATGCAGTTCCAGGGTCACCGCATAGATGGCGCCAGAATGCCAGTGTGTTCCCTCGTCCTAAGAACTTTTAAGAAGTTTTAACAGATCTCGTCTCTCTCGGTCGTACTCGGTTGCAAGAGTGTGAACGGGCCCTAAAGCTTGAAGGTTGATTGGAGTAAGTAGGCTCGGTGTAAACAGTAGATACAAGGATGTGTTGATTACTGTTACCAGTGGCCATCGCCGACTTGTTATCCCTGATTCACTTGCTTCTATTCTACTTCCGATTTTCACAATTGACGTCGAGCATTGTGGCTATCCGTTCGCGCTTTTGTAGCCCGAGCGACGTCGCTACTGAAAATAGCGAGCAGAATATCATCCTGTGAATAAAGCAAGTTGACAGGTGAGCTGCTTAAGGAGGCATGGTAACGCTAGAGGGAGGTGACAACAAAGGAACGAAGAGACATGGAGCTTAGCGTCTGTCAGTCCCTTTTTTTCCCCTCACTCGAGGGTTGCTCTATCGTCGTGAATCAGGCTTTAGAGTCCGTTTTGCGGCGTTCACGCGTAATGAATCGCCGCACGTCACATTATTCACGCGAAGTTTTGCGGTATAACAAGCCTCGTGAATTTCGCTCAGGCCACTAAAGTAGTAAGACGCTGCTAGGAAGACGTAGTATCAACAGTTCCAACGCGAAAATTGAGCACGGGGTTTCAGACCGACGCGGACATCAGATTCCAATGGTTTGTTGATGCGGGGTGGTGCGCTTCTTGCCCATACACCATCGCGCATGTGCGGCGCTCCAGTTTGTTTGTAAACACGAGTTGGCAGCTTTGACCAGCATATATTCTCCGTAGAGCTCGGTGTTCACGCAACACGAGACCCGTGGATTCTTCGTTCATCGATCCACAGGGCGACGCCATTTTGTTACCTCGAGGCATTTCGATGAATTGGGGCACGCGCCCGACGGCCCCTTACTCGTCTGCTACTCCCCTTACGAGGTAAGGGGAGTAGCAGACGCGTCCATCCTCTAGTTTTGGGCAATACCAGTGGGCTGTACCTAGGGCTGGGCAGTATCGCAATACTAATGTATCGCGATTGTATCTTAGAGATAATTTTGAGTATCTTTATCTCTGCATTGAGATACATTTTAGAAATGTATCTGTATCTCAGTAGTGAAATGCATTTACGATGTATCGCTTGTATCCCGATACTTAGCCAAACTTGGGTATCTGGTTACATTCGTTGTCCCATTTCTTTTTGATAAATTTAAAATATAAAAATATCTGTTTGGTGCAAGTCGCTTCGTAATTTATAATCTGAACCCGCCTACTATAACACGATCCATCTCAGTCACCAAAATTTAAAAAAAAATCTGGTTTAAAGAATGCTACTTGCAAGAATAACAAATCGAGCTCCTCTCCCAAAGCCTTCCACTCTTTGCAATTTAGCAGAGAGAAGGCTTTGAAGACGTTTAGTGGAGAAAAAGTACGGCCCTGTTGTCCAGTCTCCCCACACTATGGGTAACACAGAAGCATATATTACAGCAGTCTTATATGCGCCCTCACGGCAAAACAGGGTTCATTTCGGTCAGACGCCTCTTGTCAAACATGACACGCAGTCGTTACCGTTCTGTAACTATGTGATTATACAAAATCTTTTTTTTGTGGCATTAATAAAAAAAAAAAAGTACGAGGTAAGGGGAACAGCATAAAATAACACGAAAAAGGAGCACAAGCAGAAATTGCCATTCGCATTCGCCACGAATTCCACCCTCCCCATGTAGCATCGTTCGGGAACAACTGCATTTCTATGACTATCTGTATCTGTATTCCGGAATACTTTTTTGCCCTTTTTGCAGAAGTATCTAAGGGATATCCCGTTTTATAAAAGACAAATGTATCTCAGTATCTGTATTTTGGGGCTTAAAACCGATGCGTCTGAGTATTTATATTCTCGAACACTTTTTGGAGTATCTCTGCCCAGTCCTGGAGCCTGTTTGAAACAGCTAACGCTCGCTCGCTGCTGCCGCCGCTGTGAAGTGGTTTGCGCCTCTAGAAAATTTACGACTACTGCAACAGAGCACTCCTGTGCTCTGTTGTCTTATTTCAGTAAATATTCAGCGAGCGTACTTTCGTTAGGTTACTTCAATAGAAATGGCGTTTATCGGCCGCTGCGTCTATTGCGTTAGCAGAAAATAGAATCCGGATCGTACATTTCCGTATGAAGATTTTGACGAGCGTGTTGGAATTGTAACAGTAAGAAAGCACAAAACGAGCTGGAGGACGAAAAGAGGCATGTACAAGCTTTCTTGTACATGTATGTTTTCGTCTTCCTGCTCGTTTTGGGCTTTCTTACTGTTACAATTCCGTGTTTGAAAAAAAAAAAAAAAAAAAAGCATTGCTGGTGTTTGTGAAACTCCATGCATAGTTAACATTTTTTTTTCTCGCTGCCCGGTCAGAAGCATTAAAGGAGCTGTGCAACGATATTCAATTGGAATGTTTTTCTCTCTACACGAGCTTACTGGCACACCTGGGACTCAAGGATACTCACACGCAACGCCATTGGCCAAGAAACTCCTTTGTTGCGGTGTAATTTCAAGGACAAAAGCGATCATTTTCATTCAATCTCTCCTTTGCAAAATTTGATGACGTAACTCGGGGATCGCAGTACACCCAAGTGACGATATTTGAATGCGGTTCATAGATTGGACCCGAGCATTGCGTGGGCACTCGACTTGGGCTCGTGACAATTGCTAGCTCGAGAAGCATTCGGGTTGTGACCCGTGTCCAATCGCTGCAACGACGACAACAGCCGAGCCATAACAATGTCTGGAACTCAGCGCGTGTCCTGCACTTTGCCAACCCCAGCGCGTGGCTATGATCAACACTGGCGGCATATAATCGGCTCCAGATCACGTGGCCGCTTGTTCTGGCTACGAGTTGAGGGGGTGAACGCTGCTCGTTTTTCTTTAATTTTTTTCTGGGACTACTATAGCGTGGGGTGAAAACCGAACGCGTGTTTCATAGGTCATTAACGTTAGGGATCCGTTTCAAGCGGTATTTGCGCAAAGTACAAAAATTGTTGCATAGCTCCTTTAACACTCAAAGTTGTTTTCCTCGCGTGTTCTCAGACACTCGCAATATAATTGTGTTCGCTAAGGAAGCGAGTCACGTCGAGGTTAGCTGCTCTAAACCCCTGTCAGACGGCGTTCTAAGGATCCTTTTCACTAAGCTCCTTTATAAAATCGGCCAATCAGCTCGCGATGTGGAGTGCGCACGTGCTCTACGGCGAGCGCACGTGCGCTACGGCGTGCGCTGGTTCGCCAATTTTATAAAGGAGCTTAGTGAAAAGGATATTTAGAACGCCGCCTGACAAGGGTATTACTTTTCTTTTTTATGAATTTCCATAAATAACCTCGCACCAACGCCGCTGCCGGCACACCTGCGCCGCTGGGTTTTCGGCGGTTCATTAGGGAGTTTTAGTAGACCGTGTTTCCCCCTCCGCTGGCCCTCCGCTACGAAGAAACCGCCACTGCGCCTGCGCGCCGATGGCCTTGGCTGTACAGTTCCGGGTAGCGGAGGGGATTAGCGGAGCGGGAAACACGGTCTACTAAAACTCGCTATTGATGTCAGTAGCGCACTCATTTGTCGTTTTTTAAGTACCGTGTAAGCAGCACATACCTTTATTTCGGTTTTCAAATAGACCACTACAAACGTCTGCGATAATGTAACTCCTATAGGTACTTCATATACAAGGCTAGCAGGCAATGAAATATGTGCGGATTTGTTGTTCGATAAAGAACACCACATCGCGCAGTTGTTCATACCTGTTGAGCACGTTTATCTTCCTTAATTTTTTAATCCCTTTCCTACTCCCGGAATGGTCGTTCGCTCTTTCGACATCAACGAGATGGTCATTCGCTTTTTCCATCGCAACGTGAAGGCGAAGCCGATCCACCTCTCCTCCACCACGCGCCCAAAACTCCGAGAGCGAAAACATGTGGAAAGGAGGTGACTGCCGACTAAATCGTGTGTCGCGCCGTCAATATTGCTCTCATTTCTTTTCTTGCGTAATATTAATTTTTTTTTTTTTACACACGTGCCCACCAAACTTCTTTAAAAAAAAAAAAAAAAACATTTTTTTTCAGGAGCTTTTAATTGAGAATTGTGATATGCCACTCACCTCGATAGCGATATCGTACGACGTGTGAAGGTCCCCTTTCACGTGATGCAGGATCGGGTTTCTCACGCTCACGTCCAGAAAAGTCTGAAAGGAGGCAAACAAAAGCTCGTGAGCTCACGCACTGTACGGACAGAATGGGACAACGGGAAATCGAAACTTGGATAGGTCACTGGGGTGCAGGATGAGGACCCGCAACACGCGAGTGACGGACATTTCTTTCGCAAACCGACATGCGCTCAAAAATATCCCGTTTGAAAACAACAACAAGATGCGCAGGGGTGTTTTTATAACAGCTTATTCAGAATTTTTCTGATCCACCAGCATGTACTATAGTCCGTTGCAACTCAAGAATGTAGGGCGAGGGAAAAGAAGGCTAGGGAGGAGGAAGCAGATGGGACGCTGGAGAGGAGAGGGGGAGACCTCCTACCCTTTTCAGCGTTCCGTCTGCTTCCTCCTCCCCAGCCTTTACTTTTCCTCGCCCTACCTTCTTCCATAGGTGATAATCACGCAAAGCCGCGTTTTTCTATCTTCTTGTAGTCAAAGGTATACAAGCTCCAGCTTAGCGCCAGTTTTCTTTGTTCCTTATTTTGTTTCGCTGTTTCGTCTTGTAGGGGGCAAAGATAAAGACGTGGTGCCTGACAAAGCCTCTGCCCCCTAGAGTTCAGCAGTTCAAAATAGTTACATATTAAGATTTTACAAAACATTATCAATCAAAATAAAACAAGTCAAAGAAACAAGAAAAAAATAAACACTTGAATCATTTGGTAAAACAAAACAACAGCACCGTAATCGTCGGTAAGTGTTGGTCGGGAAAAACCGAAGAGAGGAACAACAAACAAAAAACTAGAATGCAATCTTATGTAGCGCCGGAATGTCAGCATCAACAGCAGGTTCAGATGAAGGCATACAATGAAAACATATATCCTTGAAATTAGCTATACCTAGTGATTGTGCTCTTGGTGCAATGTACTATCCAAATAAGAATGCGATTTCACAGCCAACCAAGAAACTTCTTCAATCCCTTTAAGATCCAGGAAACGTGTTGTCCAAGATAATGTTCAGGTCCGTTCTACTCAAAATGTTAGTTGTGTTCAAAAATTACGAGTTTGTTGGCCATAGTTGGTTCTTATAAACGGCATCCTTCGCTTTGGGTTTCTAATCGGAAATGCACCGAGGCTTTTGATTTTGTGGTGCAAAGTCTATTCTTATGTGTCCATAGTAGAAGTCTGAAGTTATATACTTGGTTTGCGCGCGTGCTCATCGTCTTCTTGGAAATGCCACAGGATGTCCCCGAGCACAAATCACTCCGTTCGAACAATGATGCAATGGAAGTCTCATGTAAATCGACCACGGTGAAGGCAGCACCCGTGTCGGCGAATCGATTTAAAATTTTCTGTAAACCTAACCCAAAAAAAGACAAAAACCTTTACGCACGTAAAATATGAAGAAAAACTTCCAGCCTTTCCACTTTGGTGAAGAAAGACCAGCGAAGCTGTACTATGGTAGGAATGAAGTAAAGGCTGGCCGCAAGTCGGCAAGCCAGAGTGGAAAGGCTCGAAAGGCTGCCGCCATCTATGAGCAACGGCGGCAACCAGACAACCGACAAGGCGGTTGTCTGTTTGCCACCGTCGCTCATAGATGGCCGTAGCTGTCCAGAATTCTGTGTCATCAGGTCATTTGAGGACGGACACGATCCTGGGGAAACTATAGCCTTTAACAGCTCGGCTGTAAAAATGAAAAATAGTTTCAATACAATTCCTTTTTTTTTTTTTACGTGCCTTCAAATCAAGTTTCCTTTGTCCCTCGGAGCTAAATTTGTGAGACATTTTCTACGATTCAGCAAGAAAGAGCAATCCATTTTTTCCGAACACTCAGCTCGCAGTTTCTCGCAGGCATCTGGGGTCGGTCGCGGCGCTGCTCCCATCCATTATATTCGCCGCTCCAAAGAAGGCGACACCACGCAGCGAACAACACAGGAACGAGAGGAGCCGCCGCCTCTCCAAGTGCGCAGCCAAAGCTAGAGCGGCCTGGCGGTCGAGAGGAGAAACGGACGAAAGGGGTTGAAATTAGAGTGCCTTCATTAGAGTGCCCTAGTTGAAATTAGAGTGCCCTAGTTGAAATGCTCGGGGTTGGAGTTGTCCGTACACTCCACGAGGGGAGGAAACGAAAGTCGAGGATGTGAAAACGACGGAGCGAGGAAAGGCTGTAGCAGTCATACATGACAGGATCCCTCAATGGAACTACCGCCAGCCATGGCCCAGCTTTCTGAGATATTTCCGTGGAATCAAATGTTTTCGAAGAAATATCAAAATTTTAATTGATATAAATTCTACGATACCCGAGTAATTAGACTCCTCGTGAACATTACGATCTTTTGGAGATAAAAAGAAAGCAGGAATCGACGATTTTCTAAATCATCTGATTAAAAATATCGTAGAGCTGCGGATTAAAATCTATGCGCTTCCAAAAGTTTAATTACTGCTTTTGATATTTTATGACTGTCATCTGGAATATTCCCGTTGAACATTGAGATGTTTGTTATTGTTCAGTCGAAAATCTCATTTTGGTGGATACGCCGAGGCGCGTGCGAGAAAGTTGGGGATGTTGGTAGAAAATTCCATCAACAAATCCCGAAGTTAAATCCCATTTTGAAGCGATGCTCACAAATTCCCCTCTGGACACCCTTGGGAAAATCGCCACGGATGAAAGAAAACGACGCTCAAATGCCTTAAGCTGAGCTGCGATGTTTGGCGTCTACTTCCACGTCTTTTTTACACGACTTTCTTTTGCTTCAGGAGTGTCACGCATCCACGTCCGCCTTAGCTGTCGTAAGTGAAAACACTGATGACAACTATATAGACGCGGAACATTGTACCTAATTAATGTACCCTTAAAAAGAAAAGTTGAGCTTTGCAGTATGATTAGATGCATAGATGATTACGTAATATCCCGCTAGACGAATGAAGACCGCGAACTACCCCTAATTAACCAAATTACTTCCAGATCTCTTTACATTTTTTCAGGAGTAATTTTAGCGAATGGTTTATGATTCACTAAACCAAATTGTACTTGTAGCTGCTTCAGCGATCATGAACCCTATTCCACTGGCCGATTCTATTGGTTCCGACACTGAAGGCGTTTCAAATTCAGTAAACAAAACCCCTCTTGCAAAAAAAAAAAAAAAAAAAAAAAAAACAAAAAAAAAAACTACAACTAAATGTAGTTTTAGCACATATTTCCTATCCCTCCGATGACGATACCTGATAACGACACGATGATGCACAAATGCGTCACCGGAGTATCGGGTGTCGTTATCGGAGTCATCGCAACGATCTACTAAAACTCCCTACCGATGAACACCAGCTGCTGCGGTTCCGCCCCTTTCACGACAAGCCGGTCTCAGCCACAATGTGAGATCCTACTGATACCAGCTGCAAACAAAACATGTGGCGATTCTTTCGCACGCCTGCTATTTCGTCATTTGTGCATGCATTATACCACTGTAGTGTTTCTTGTTATTACAAACGCCCTACAGTATTGATAAATAAATAAATAAAATAAAGTAACATAAATATCATTCGTCGCGAGCGACGAGTCCTTCCAGCTGTAATTGTGTCATTCGGGGGAAAAAGTTAAATAGGGCGTTTATATATTAGACAACGTAGATTTATTGACAAGCTAGAAAAAAAAAAAAGACAGGACAAAATTAGACGATACATTCATCGTCAGCATCGAAAAAAACACGGTAGTTAAAACAGCACGAATTTATGGTTCATTAGAGACAGCTATCAAATGAGAGAGCCTGCCCCACTTCCGCAGTATAGTTGGGCAATTTGGTAAGCGCACTACGGTTCATAACCGCTAGGGTATTTTACGTGCCTGGCGCAGTAACGGGAGTTTTAGTATGTTGTTCCGATGACTCCGATAACGATACCCGATACTTCGCCGACGCCCTTGCGCATGCATCGCATCGCTATCGGAACGATCCACTAAAACTCTCTAATCATCCCGCACAATGCCACCCCGGAAGGGAACTGCAGGGAATGGGGACTTGGGCCTAAGCCCTCGTCGCCAGGGGCCCCAAAACTCGTCAGACACAAAGTTGGAGCCGAAAGTTCTCGGAGCGCGCCGATTGGACGTCGGCAAAAAAAGCGCGAAGTCATTGTCGTGAGAGGCCAATCGCTGCGCTCCGTCAATTTGGGCCCCGACTTCATGGTTGACGAGTTTAGAGGCCCAGGACTGCTCGCGATTGACGAAGAAACTCGCGGCAAATGATCGTCAAGAAAGACGCGCGCAATCGCCTGCCGCGCACGAGCTGCCCTGCAGTGCAGTGCGCGCGAATTCAGTTTCGCCGGGCGCTTGGCCCGTTGCACGGCCACCATCATGGCGTGGTGTTATAGAGGCATCTTCTGCGAAACTGGCGTCTTTTGGGACTTTCTTATCCTGGCGGGAAGAAGGCATTGCTCGTTTTTCTCTGCAGCGAAGAACGGCAGTCGCGCCTGATAAACCACTTCGGGGTAACACGCAGAAAAGCCACTCGTTGGGAACAATTCAGGTGCCGGCGATCGTCCGTGTGACTTTCATAGATATCGCGCCTGCGCTTATAATCGGGTCAAGTTTGTTAATCGTCGCAATTGATAAGGAGTTACGCAATAATAGACTGCGTTTCTCCTCGGCTTATCTTCTACTGGTGAACTTAACAAATAAAAAGAAAAAAGAAACGCCTCTAATTTAGTTGGAAAATCATTGAAGACAAGCTTCAGATTTTAGTCGGTAACATATCAAGGTCTTCCTACCATCTTCGACTATTTTTGCGCTTTCTTTAGACAACGTATGGTTTGCAATGTGAGCAGTTTGTACCGGAAGTCTGACTCCATTGCTGCCAGATATCTTACAAAAGTACTTGACGAAATTTAAATATGAGCCATGGCCTCCGAGATCCCGAAGCGCGCGCGCGAAGGCTTCTCCGGCCGTCCCATTCGTCTCGCTCCCCAGCAGAAGAGTGTAATTGCGCTAACTCCGTCGCTCGCCGCGAGGCGGCGCTCCCAACCCAGTCATGAACAGCATGGCGCGAGGCTGAAGAGTTCAAGAAAAAGTCTTGTTACGTCGAGTTACTGCAACTTATACTTACAAATTTTTGTGTATTGTGGTAGAACGGTGAACAGCTGCTCTGGGGACGCAGATAGAAAATTTGTTGTGCTTATTTAATTACTGTATTTAATTTGAGATATTCATCTGGACATGTGCGGCTAGCGCTAGAAGCTCGCCTTTTGGTATATTTGATTGCAATCTGTAGGGACCGGGCCGGGTACGGGCCTTGTATTCACATCTACAAGGGGGGCCAAAGCAAGCCAAACCGACCATTACTTTCTTCTTTTCTTTTTTTTTAACGGCTTGTTCTTTGGAATTATGTTCGGAGGTTGGGAGAGGAACCACAGTGGGGTTAAACAGACGCTGAAGCATGTGTGTGTGGGTATATGTTTTTGTATGGTTCGGTGTGTGCAGCGAATGCTCTTCCAGAGGACTAGCGGCACGGCGTTTCTTTTTGTCCCCGGCGGCGCCGCCATCATACAAGCGCTTCTCACCACAAACACGCACATACACGCGCCTAAACAACGTGTGCACCCTCGCCGGCGTAAACCATCTGTACGCACTAGGTCTTGCATCCCCAATAGGGGTGAAGAGGTTCCCCGGAGGGGTACTTTTCCTGAACAATTTCTCGCAGACCACCGCAAGCGACGACGACATTGCAATTTTTATTTTTTTTTATTTTTTTTTTTACGGTTGTGCGCAGCGAAAGTGGCTAATTTAGAACTTTGCCCGTCTTTTGTCCAAACCCGTCGCGATGTGTCCCTTCCTTTCCAACTGTGACACGTGGTTTTGTTTACTTCTACTTGTCATTTTTGTTTTTTTCCGTTCTTTCCGCGCGTGTTTGGTCGCAGAACAGGAAGATCGGGTGATTTTTCTTAACAAGCTGCCTACGCCTGCAGATTAGTCGAATAATAATATCAGCAAAAATAAAATGCTTACAGTATTTACTGTAAGCATCGTAATCAACGTATATACATGTAGCAGTTGCAAGCGAGCTGCCATGCCGCGCAATTTGATATATTGATATTGATATTATTTATTGCACTTGAGAAGTAGAAGTGTACAGGCGTGCTGGTGTTGGGGGAAGGCTGACGCCCATGCGCTATTGTGCCCACAACACCGACCTATTCATACTGGGCTAAAATAAAGCGCAGCGTGCCCGTGAAAGTTAGCTTCGGGTTGGGCTGCGACGGCTGTCGGAAATGGATAGCGGATAAACCAGAGTTCTTTTTCCTGAGATCCCATTGTTTGTTTGCGTATCAATTAAGTTATATCACAAAGTGCATTACGGTATACGGTGGTCTGCGCTACATATGCCAAAAACTAGATGTTTACAAGATCACGCCCCACCTTTTCAATGAGTACCTACAATTATCACGAGGTTTATAAAAAAAAATGGCGAAATCATTGCGAGGTGAACGTTGTACCTCACCGCCAGAGGTTTTTCCCCAAACCCGGGGTCACGCTGCTTGTACATGATACAAAAGACAGCCTGCGAACAGATTCACGGTCGAGTCACCACGAGATCTGAGCTTCGAATGCCGCAAGGCAGTTCAATTAGAGAGTTGGCACGCAGCGTTTGAACCACGGATATCGTGGTGACTGATATCTGCAGACTGTCTTTTGTATAATGTATAAGCAGTGTGACCTCGGCTTAAAGGTACTTCTAGTAGAAGCAAACACCGCAATACGACCCGCAAAAATTGCGTAATATTAAAAATATTAAAACAAGGACAACACGGAGTTCATATATCGTATAAAACCTCGTGAGGCTCATAAAGCTACGCCAAACAACGTGCGAAGGTAAAAAAAATATATATATTGCAGCATGAATATTTTTATTTAGGGAAGTACTAATTTTTTTATATACGGAGCTTTTCTTTTTTTAGTTTTATACGTGCTTACACGTATTTGCTACGTGCTTACACGTAGTTTTATACGTACGTACAGATTGCAATCAAATATATCAAAAGGCGCGCTTGTAGCGCTAGCCGCAACATGTCCAGATGAATATCTGAAATTAAATAATTAAATAAGCATCACAAATTTTCTATCTACGTCCCCGGAGCAGCTATTCATCGTTCTACCACAATACACAAACATTTTTAATTATAAGTTGCAGTAACTCGACGTAACAAGACTTTTTCTTGAACTCTTCAGCCTCGCGCCATGCTGTCGATGACTGGGTTGGGAGCGCCTCCCCGCGGAGACACGCCGCCTCCTTCTCTTTTTTCAATTACGCCCTCTCCGCACGAATGGGACGGCCGGAGAAGCGTTCGCGCGCTTCGGGATCTCGGAGGCCATGTATGAGCGAACGTAGTTCAACTTCCGCCCGCGACCGCCGCCTGAGAGCCACTGTGCCGGCACCGGTCGGCAGCCCCGGCCAAGAACTTCGGGAAGAGTTCTCTCCGTTCATCTTATCCCGCGGAGGTCCTCGCATCCAAACCGAAAGGAGAGTCAAAGCATGGGAAACGAAAACAGGGCCCCTTGACGTTCGCGGAAGAGAGGCGGCAGCGCATAGCCTCGGGGGCTTTCCAAACACGTGCGCTTCACGGGAACTCCCGAGGTCAAAGGAACTGGCCCCTCACCTTTCCGTCAACGACAGCGTGATCCGGCGCATCGGCCAAGTCGCCGGCAGCTGCATTCCTTGGGCGCGTGGTGGTGCCGCGCAGTCCGGCGTCGTACACGCACACGCTGGTCACCGCCATCGGAGAACGGACGCGAGTCCGGAACACGGCTGGGTTCGTACGCGCCGCTGGAGCGGCCGCCGCGGGGCCCCGCTGCTTTTAACTGCCTTCCGAGAAGGAAGGAACAATGGCGCGGAGGAGGGGCGCTTATCGAGAGTCCAGCACGGGACCCGCCAGGGAAGCGATACCCCCCGCGACTGGGATGTCACGGGCTGGCCTCCGCACGCGCGCCGTTCTGGACCGATCTAGGGCGGCCGTGAAGTTCGAGACGCGGGGCTTCGAAAACCGCGTGGTACCGGAACAGCTCGACCTTGCGCCTCTTGGAGCCGGCTCGTGTCGCCGTTAGTTTCGAGAGCAATGGCGACGATTCTACCGGCCGAGACTGCGAAGGATCGGAAAGCTCGTGCGCTGCGTACGAACCAGCCGTGTTCGGCAGGACTGTGAAAAACGCGCCTCGTGCGCACACACGATTGACTCTTTCTTGCCCTTCTTTCTTCACCTACAGCGCACGCTACTCGCCAGGACTGAGCATCAAACGCGATCAAGTTCTATGCAGCGTGGTCGGGGAAGTTACGGGCGGGAAAAAGCGATTTCGCACGAATTATTGCGAGTCACGAAAGATGCGTCGTCGAACCGGTTGTTGATTCTTTCAGTAAGGTGTCATTCCCTCAAAGTGCTCAGCTTCTAAACGAAGCAGTACAGCCTCCAGTTTTTTTTAACAATACCGGGCGAACGCTGAACGGCCGGGAGATCAGCTGCTTATCGCGGCGTGAAAAAGCAAGTCAGCGAGGCCAGGCGCGTGAGGCTGTAGTACGTTACAGTGGATACGCCCAGAAGGGGGAATTCTTTTCCCTCGAATCAATGGCTGTTTGCGCACAATCATGCATCTTATGATCACAGACCGACGCCTTGAGTGCGCGGGTGGACAATGAAACAAAAGGACACTGCGATAGAACGCCAGCATTTGCATCCGCAATTCCTTTCTTAAATAAGAAAGTTCTAAAACAATTTCTTAGCAATTTTGTTGATCTAGAATGTTTTATTTTGGTTTCACCGAGTGAACAAACAAGCATTAGCTATTGCGTGCAAACGCAAAATGGGTTCGGTCGAGTGCCGGAAAACGTTCTAAACGTGCAAGTCGTATTTTTGCTTCCCCCTTGAATGCTGAGTGCGAATTCCTTAGTTTCATTCACGCGGGGATACGGCACAGTTTAAACGAAAACGATTTATTTTGCGCCAACAAAGCTGCGACCCCTCGCTCCGCCCGCCTTACGGTAGAAAAACAGCGGACGTGATTTCCGAAGCCACGGCGCGCGCGGGTGTTGCAGGCGCACTCACCATTTTTAGTCGCAAAGACGCCGAGCGGTGCCCCGATGTCGAGAGTTTGCAGCGAGCGGAGTGGCTTTGGAAAGGCGAGGTTCGCTGGAGCTGGGGTGAAGCGTCTCGTTCGGGAGCAGAATGCCGTGTGCCCGTATGTAGCTGCAGGTGGCGCTGTCAAGCGCACTGATACTGGCGATGCGACCCCCCTCTCCACCCGGCCAGTGTGGTCGGCAGTGGCGTAGCGAGGGTGGGTGTTCACGAGTTGAAACAGTCCTTTAAATTTGATTTCTTTCCTCTTTTCAAGTTTCCAGTGCCAGTTGTTTTTCTGTGCCTCACCGTCTCGACAACCCACTACGGCGAGGAACCAGGCTCACAACATTCCAAAGCAAAGCGAAGATGACACTATCAGTGGACTGCGTGAGAAGTCCGGCTCCGGTTCTCCGAAGGGCTCTCGCCAAACTCGGCCGAATTAGTCACGGAAGCCATTTTCAGGCTCGCAGGTGTGAATGGCTCAGCTCCCGACGTCACAAAAGCCGCGACAACTTGACCTCGGTGGACGCTGTCCTCGCCTCGGAGAATGCAGGTGCTCAACAACTTGAGGACAATTTTAGAGTAAGGAAACAAAACACCCCTCCCCCCCCCCCCCCCCCCCCCCCCCGGAAAAAAAAAGCCAACAACAACAACAACAAACAAACAAACAATACTTTGACTGCAAATCCTAGTGATGAGAAAGCAGGACGGCGAAACGACAAACAGCTTAGCGTTTTTCTTTTCGTCCTGTCTTCCCCCTCTCCAGGGTTTGCTGCCCAGCACGAATGCACCACCAACCAAAATGACAACCCCCCCTCCCCCCCCCCCCCCCCCACACACACACACAAATAAAAAAAAAAAAGAAGTGGGAGAGAAAAGTTGTAGCTTATGCGCCGTTGGGGGAAACTTTGGCATGATCATAGAACTGTTGGACGTCAGCTGACAAAGAGGACGTGCTTTCGAGAGCTCCTGCGAAGCTAAGTGATTTTTGGGTGTGTGTTTATGTAGTAGTAGAAAGCAGTTTTCAATGTAGCGGTAGGATAGCTCGGTTAAAGTAGACTTTTTAGATAGGGTCACAAGACCGAACCACCTGCACGTTTGAAACTTTTGGCGGGCTAGTTGGTTGTGTGGGCTGAGGCGTACCCAGGCTTTCTTGGCTTGAGTTTTGGTGGGATATTTGTCGGGGGGTCGCGCTGTGTGTCGCTAGGCGATGGTGAATACGCGACGGAAGAAGGTCAAGCCTAAAGTAGAAGGACCCGATCTAGAGTATGAGGAGTGTGGACAGTGGTGCAGCATGATAGAGACTGAGTTCGAAAGTGTAGCAGAAGCCGAGGGGAGCAGCTTTACACGCGGAGTTACGAGAAGGTCGAAGATGGTTTTAGGAGAATAGAAAGGGAAGGGGCGGATACGGTTCAGGAGTTAAAGCCGGAGATAAGGTCAGAGCGGGAGAAGCGGATTCAGCTGGAGGCGCAGGTCGGAGATTTAATTAAGAGGGCCGAAGCGGATGGGGAGGAGATGACCAGGGAATGGGAAAGTAAGGTAGGAGGCCTGGCGGGAGAGCTCAGACAGGAGCGGGAGCAGCGAGCCGTGCTAGAGCGTCAGGTGGAGGATCTTAGACAACGGGAGGAGTGGTAGGCGGAGTTGGAGGAGCATGAGAAGAAGTATGAGGATATGGTGCAGCAATTGGTCCTCGCTTGGTAACAGTCGGGCGCAGGACAGCTAGTGGAGATCGATTTTTTTTCTCAGTGTCCGAAACTGCGGTACAGAAAGCAAAACTTTGTGGGCACCCTGGCGGCTCCTCAGCCCAGTTGCCCGACTGCGAGGCAAAGGTGCCGAACTTTTCCCGCTTGGCGGCGACGTCACGCCAGCCACGCGCACATCGGATGCGCCGCCTTGATAAGGCAGATCAGAGACGGCGCACAGGGAGTCGCTGCCTGGACTCAGGCGCTGCTGGTAACCCTGTTAATCGTCTCGTTCATGTCCCCTTAAGTGTAGTTCCTTGTTGTTGAAACCGTTTGCTTCGTATCATTCCTCCGGGTCGGGTATGCAGCAAGGCAAGCCGACCACAACTTTTGGACGAAGAAAAATGCACAGAAAGAGGGACGTTTAAACCCAGCTACATTCTTTGCTTTCACAAATCCTCACACACTCAGAAATCTAAGGACGACTACAGCCATCACTGAACTTCCACAAAGAGGCTTACAGTTACAACAAAAGAACAGGTACCAGACATCGAACACACCGTTGTATCCTCATTAGCCGCCTCGGTGGTTCCGAGGCGAGAGCGCCGGCCTACGGATCCCCATTTGGCAGGTTCGAATCCCGGCCGAGGTGCCCGCAATCCTGACGGAGGCTTATTGCGTAGAATGCGCCGTGTAACCGAGCTTTCGGTTGCACGTCAAAAGATCCCCAGGTGGTCGAAATTAATCCTCAGTCCTCCGCTGGGGCGTGCCAGATGCCCGTCGTTGGTTTGGCACGTAAAACACCCAAATGTGACTTTATCCTGATCATTGGTCACTTAAAAGGTACACAAAAATTAACTTTCATTCATTCTCCCCTTGAGCCCTATAAAGTATACAATGACGTCGCAGCGTGGGCGCTCAGGTTTTAGTTTCTAGAAAGTGTCGGTCCGCAGCACGCTTGCTTCTTAAGGCCCTGTCACACTCAGGCAACACGACGGCAACAGCAACACAACGCGTTGTCCAACAGTCGGGCAACTTGTTGCTCGCTCCGTGTGTTGTCCGACAAACCTGTCACAGCACGGCAACATGGACGACAACTAAAATGTTGCCTCGGTATGACAGCTTTCGGCAACAAAAACAGCAACAACTTGTGTTGGACAACGTGTGTTGCCCTTATCGCTGGCTGAGCGAATTTCGGGCCGGCAACACGACAACATAATTAGCTTCGATGGTAGGGCTAGTCCCCTATCAATAACGTCTTACTCAAATAAAGGCTGGAAAACGTTATTTAACAATAATTAGGGCTGGCGTGCAGCTAAAATATTTTCGATTAATGTTTTTGCTGCGTAGTTAAGGCCCTGTCACACTGAGGCAACAGTCGGACAACTCTATCCAGCAACACGGGGAAGTCGTGTTGCCGGCGACCCTGTCACATCGAGGCAACAACAACAGTCGGGCAACATGCTGCTGCCGCCCGGCAACCGTGTTGCCCGATTTGTTGTCCGATAACCCTGTCACACCGCGCTGACGGCGAGGACAACACGGGGAACACTCCGCCATCTTGATTGTTTACCTTCGTTCGTGTGCGGCGCGGAATCGCTGGAAATGTGACTCTACAAAGTGCTAGTGCGTTCGAAGGGCCGGGAATTACCACGGTACGACATCAACTAGTGACTGTGATTAGAAAACTTGACACAGGGAGTATTTTTCGCTCTTTATTTTATCGAAATGTTCTTCATTTGCTGACAAAGCAGATAGCCCTAACCGAGGAAAGGGACATCGCTGATGTATGTTCGGGATTTACGCCACCGTATGAAGTGATTCTGTCCGGTTCTTTCATGCAATTTCTATTTCTACTGTAAAATTGCGTTAGCACCGGCAGTACCCCAAAGCGTCTTTTGTAACGCGGTGTTGAGCTGAACTGACAGTGCTTCAAAACTGCGACACCGACACCATCGGCCTTCATAACAATCGGTGAAATAAATATTTTTCAACGCTGTCTACTGGCCTACCGCTGCTACGTGATCGCTTCATTCGCCCAAAACGTCCTGGGTATTTTTAAA